AAGAAAGTGAATCTGGGCACCATTCCATCCATCAGAAGACATTTTTACATGGTGAAAATCAGTGTGAGGGGTAAGAAATGTTTTATGGAAAAAAATCGAGTGATATATTAAAGATATTTGAGATGATTAATCAAATAATAATGGTGACTTATGTGCTACATAGAATCTTATTAGCTAATCATCTTATAATTTTGAGAATTGTGATTTGAGAAACATCTCAGCACCATGATAGTTTCTGGAAAGTGTCATAGAAAGTGTCATGGAATTGGCAGGAAGCCAAAGTGGATTCCTATGATATGATATATGTCATAGATCTGAGAATAATTTAGCTATTATATTATCTCAAAATTAATTTAACTAAATTATGACATATTGGGAAAATCCTAAAGATTTACAAACTGATTTATATACATGTGAATATGTACAGCACCTTCAACTAAATCCCGATATGCTTGTAATAGAATAAAAAATGAATCTAATATTTTATTATAAATACTTGCTACAAATTGTTATAAGTCTTTAAAATTGCTATAAATTGTAAATTGCTATAAACTCTTTATACCTGTAAAATGGTTAGAACTAATTATTATTCTAATTTAAATACTGTAATAGTGTAAGTGTTAAACAATCTGTAATATAGCTATCCCTTAGACTGTAGTGCAGGCAAATTTGCCTGCGAAGTTAAAAAAATAGTGTTAATTTCTTAATAAAATATTAAATATTAATTTTATTAATATCATTATTATATAAAAAAAATATAGTTTAATATATTTTATTAACTTTATTAATAAAGATTTTAAGTTTTTAAAAGATTTTTAAAATAATCTGATTTTAAAATTAAGTTTCAAACAATTTTATATAATAATTTTTTAAAAATTCTTTAAAATTTATATGTTTGAGTACTAATTGAGTCACTTTATCATTAATTAAAGTCATAAAATTTCTTAATAAATTATAGAAATTATAATAATAAAAGTTTTACTTTATAAGTAATTTTATAATATTCCATTAAGATTAATATAGTTAAAACTAAATCCTAAAAAGTTTATCATAGATTAATCATAAAATTATTTAATATAAATTTTTTTAAAAAATTACAAATTTTAGCTTCTAAGTAATCTTAAACTTTTTAATATATAATTAAAGATAAAACTTACTATAATTTATTATATATTTATAAAATTAATTTATAAAAAAAACTTTTAAAAATATTAATTATTTATAAAAGTAAATCAGAAGAGAATTTATAGTAAATAAGCAGGCAAATTTGTCTGTAAAACCCTACAATTTAAGAGATAGTAATGAAACACCAGAAATGTGATATTCTCATATTCGCTATCCATTTAAGAAACTTCTTGAATATAATCCAAAATACTTTTTGAAGAATAGATTTATCTATATTATTGAAAGATCATATAAAGATGGAGAATTTAAAGCTGGAAGATGTTCATTTCATATTTATTGCACTGTATATGACTCCTTAGTAATTATTCAAGAAATACCATCAAATGTGTGAATAATCACCTGAAGAAATGCATTGCCAAAAGGTGTCTCATATATTCTAAACCTGTACAAAAAAATGTGAAAAAAGGTGGAAGTGTATCAATACTTAGATCTGAGACATAGGCAAAACAAGTTTGGAATATGGTGAGAAATGATGGTACTCCTGACAAGAAGAAGTTTTTAAGTATACCTCCTTGCAAAATAAGAGTTTCCAATGATCGGTATATATACTATAATCGGGTAGGATATAATTATATAGATAGAATTCAAGTTAAAGACTGATCTGAACATAATCAGCATATTCCTGCATTATATGATTATTATGATTCATAAAGCTGGGCAGAAAAGAAGAGAGATCAGTTATAGGAATGATTAAATAATGTAGCATACAGTCAAACCTTGATATAGCAAACCCTTGATATAGCGAATTTTTAAATCAAATATATTAAAATTACCTTTACTATAGTGAACTAGCCAATTAAATTCTTTAAAAAATTCGTTATAAGCTTATAACAAAGTTGATATCCAGATCCTAAAATTCGTTATATCAAGAGTTTATTGTACATAGTTGCTTTTATAGAATTACATCTGCAAGGCTATAGAATTGTTAAATATAATGATTGATCTTATATGTTAAAGTGGCTATCAAATCCTGAATATTACTATATTGACAAATACCTAAACAATAGCAATGAGAACTTTGTTAGAAGTTCAGAATATGCACGATATGAATGTAAATTGGCAGGCAAATATTATCAATATAATTTACTAGATATTGACTATTATAAAACTGGAAATATTAGTATCAATGGAAAATATATTATTATAGATTTCTCAGATTCAAATAATAATTACGAGTATGTGCATCAAAATTTTCAAAGCATAGATTTTTTATTAAAATAGTGTATTATATTTTATATTCATATTTACTGTATATATTTTTTTACGCTATATAATTTACATATATGATGTTTTAGTAAAATGTTGAATGTATTACCTGCAGAATAAAAAATATGATCTGCTTATTCTGGATTAGATCCTCTAATATATAATTATTTTAGTGAAGTATTTTAGGAAAATCAATAAAGTGGTTTTGGAGATTCTTATAATTATAGCTTTAAAATTTCTGTGCAATAGTTATCCAGTGAACTTATAGGAATAACAAGAAGAGGTCCAAATTTTTAGCAAAACAGGTTTGGGAAATGGTGAGGTATGATGATACTTCCGACGATATGAAGTTTTTAAGGAAAATTCCTACTCATGAATATTGTGATGTTGGATCAAATGATTTTGAGATTATATTAGAAAAAGGAGTCCAATTACGTTTAAGATTAACAAATATAGCATTCATACTTTCTTTGAAATTATTACATCAACAAGGCTATATAATCATTAGAGGTTCAATATAGGAGGTTAAATGGATTGATATGTTAAAATGACTATAAAATCCTGAATATTATCATATTGATAAGAAATCTAACTCTAAAAGTTTTGTCAGAATTTAGAATATAAGAAATGTATGAGAAAAAAGCTAGTCATATATGACTTGCTAATGAAAATTACAGCTTTATATAATCTGGTTACTGTAAATTTATCAGATTTGGATAATAATAGTGAATTTGTATGCTGAATTTTTCAGATTAGTCCTTGACCCAGATCCTGAATATTGTTTTAATAAATAATATATTGTCTAGCCACAATGCATATTGATATGTATGACATAAATTAGCATGTTTTTGATTCTCATTAAAGTATATATGATATAATAGGTAATACTTCATAAATCAGTGACTATTTTATATATAAACTAGGGTGGCTTTTAGGTGATATGTTTTATTTTTTTTTATTGCTATGCAACAATTGTGTAATTATTTGTGTAATTAATCTTTTATTTTTATTTTTGGTTTTTTTAGGTAACAAGTTATTTACTTTTTTGATAGTTTTGTAGTTGAGTTAAATAAATAAAGTTAGTGATTTTGTGATTTTAAATTGATTGATTAGTTTGAGTTTGGATAAGTATTGATAATTTAAGACTTGAGAAGTTGAACACTTAAAATTGAATCCAAAAAATTGAACACTTAAAAAATTGAGTACAAAAAATTGAACAATTAAGGTTTTGTTGGCTAGAGATTGCAGATAAAGGAAGAGAAAGTTTTTAAAAGTTGTTTTTTTTTGGTAGTTTTTGTTATATTAGTAGAGGGTTAGTGGTAATTTCTTTAAGTCTTTTGTATTCTCATATTACGTCTGGGTCTGTCATAAAGGCTGTTTTGTTTAATATGGGTATTTGAAAGCTTTCCCAGTTGGAGCATCTGCTTAAGGTAATGTATGCTTGTCCAGTTGAGAATATTTGGTAGTCTAGACTAACAGATATTTGGTTTAGTGTGAGTTCTTGGATTTTATGAACGGTTAGTGTGTAGTTGTTTTAGAATGGAAATTGGCGGCAGGAGGCTTTGTTCCCATTGATGGTAAAGTGATATGTGATCAGTTCTATGTTTGTATCTATTATGCCGCCTGGTACGCTAAATGAGGCTCAGACTATATTTGTTTCGATATTAATATTTGTAATGATTCTGATTGACCGTTGTAGATATTGAGGTTTGCTTTAGAATTGTTAAGTAACATGATTTTAGCACCTTGTTGGAGGTGGACTGTGGAAGGGAGATTTGTTCTTGATTTAAAGGTTTTTTCTGTGTTCCATTGCTCTTTATTTATTATATCTATTATTTGGAAGATCATGTATCCTTCTTGGGTTATTAGTAGTGCGTTGCAGATTAATCGGTTTATTTTGTTAGCAGTTTTGCAATAGCCTACTATATTTGTGATGTTGAGGATGAGGTTGATTGGTTTGTTTGGGTTGAATTGCTTGTTTCTTTCTTGTAGTTTTTTTCAGATTTGGTCGATTAAGTTCCTTAGACAGATTTTTCTAGCATGTTGTAGAATTCTGGTTGGTTTTGTTGGCAGTAAGGTTTGTGAAAAAAGAAAGGGTAGAATAGCTTCCATATTGATGATTTGAATATGAGAATCTGATTACTGATGGTAGTTGTATTAGATCACCAGTGACGATGATGCTGATTCCTCTGAATGCTAGGGTAATTTTGTGGATGATTGTGAGGGTGTTTGATATAAATTCTAAGAGCTTTTTCGATACCATTAAGATTTCGTCTATTATTATAACATCGATCTTTTTTAGTTTTTCTTTTAATTTGTTATCATAATTAGCTAAGGTTTGGAAGCCTATTTGTGTTGAGATTATTTTTAGTTCAAAATGTATGATACTTCCTCCTATATTTTGGACAGCTATACCTATGAGTGCTATTAAGAGGTAATTTTGATTTTTGTTTTTTATTGAATTTATAAGAAGGTGAATGATGTATGATTTTCCTGTTCTGGCGGAAGCTGTGATGAAGAAGTAAGACCATTTTCATTCTTCTCTTTTTCCTAAATAGGATGTTAGGGTAGATGTAATGTTGTATTAGTCTGTTAGTAGTTGATAGATAATGTTTTCAGGTAGAATTGGTGGTAGTATTTTTAGGGATTCAAGTTGGATTCTTAAGATTTCTGTTATGTTTGTTAATATGGTATTTTTTAGGTTTAATATTAATTGGTCTAGGATTTCTGAATATCTTAGATTCATTATTTGTCTTGTTTGTTCAATATAGGTTAGTGTTCTATTTTGGATTTCTTCAGTTATGTTTAAAAATATCGATATGTAATGATTTCGGTAAGTTGAGTAGTTTTCTTTTAATTCTTCTTCACTTCTTGTTAGGATGGTATTTAACAGTAGTTGGTAAAAATATAGTTCTTTGTCAGTTATTTTTATGAATCAGTTGTGGGTTATTATTGGCTTTGTTCTTTCAATAATATAGTTTTCAAGTTGGTCTTCGTATATGTTTCTTGTTATGTTAATCAGTCTTTCTTTTTGGATTATGTATCTTTCGTAGTATTGGGAATAGGTAATTTGATCAAATATAATATCTGTAGGTCTTTTCATGTATTTTTCAATAGTGTCTTTGTAGTATAGATCATCTTCATTTTCATCTGTTAGTAGGTGAATTGGTAATACTGCTTTTTGTCTAATATTTAGAGGTTCAGTATTTAGGTATTTTACTTGAATTGAGGAATCACATATAGTTTTACCTAGTATTAGAAACATTGTTTCCATTGCTCCTAGTCTTCTTGCAATGATGTGTTCTCTAAATTTATTATTATCTATAATGTTGAAGACGTGAGAGGGTTCTGCTTTTGCTATGTATTTAGTAATATATCTGGTGAATCCTTTTGATGTGATGTATTGAATGTTCATGTGAGCATTTCAAATTAATAAAGTTTCTAGCTAGTAGGGTACTATCCACTAGTCTGCGAGTTTTATGTATTTATATATATATACCTATAGGAGTTTTGTTCAAGGTATGTAGTGTCTGAAAATTGTTGTGGGAATCTTTCTTACATTATTCTCCAGGTGGAGCAGGTTTGCCACATTTGAGAGTGTTGCATCAGTGTATTTAGTATGCTAAGATTTTTTCATATAGTTCTGATTCTTATTCCGGATCTAAAGGTCGAAGCATATAATGTTATCTTGAATCATAGTTTTAATTGGTTTTTGATCCAATAGCATTTGTAGTATGGACTGTATCTCTATTTTGAAATTTAATTCGGTCAAAAAAATCAGTTATATTTTCCTATCTGCTAACTTTTTCATTTTTCCATACTTCTTTCTTTAGTGATCTAAATTTGTGAATGAAATGGAGAGTGGTATGTAAGGATCAGTTAGTTGGATTAGTATCATTGTTATCAGTTTGTTGTAGTATATCTTAAAGTTCAGTCAATCTGTTTTCTGCTAATGAAGACTGTGAGGAGTCCAAGTTTTTTTAGCATTGAGTTAAGGTGTAGTTCTTTTTCGTGAAAATATGAATCTCCTATCCTAATGAAGGTTAGTATTGTTATAGTTAGATTTTTGTTTATGAGGTTTGCATTTGAGTAATTGCTTTGTTGGATTAGTTGAATTGATAACAGAAGTGAACGTGATTCTTATATGTTTTTTGATGTAGTATGCATCAGGTATTTTGATAGTAGCGAAGTTTTTCAAGTTGTAGATAAGTATGAGATAGCAAGTAATAATTGGGCCTAAATCTTGGGTCGTTAAGAAGTAACATATGTTTTGCATATTTTCCTAGGGTTTCTAGTTTGTTTTCGTCTGATAGTGAGTTATTTTTCATGTCATAGAAGTGTCCTTTACCATCAGAAAATAGGTGAGAAAATAGGAGGAGTTTGAGGTTCAGATTGTAAATTGAGATAGAAAGTGAATTATTGTTATTGTCGTGAATGAATCCTGTTATTAATTATGAATAATGATAGTCTTCATTAGAGCTCCTAATGAGTCGAGTTGACTCACGAGTCAAATGAGTTGACTCGAGTTTAAGTCGAGTCGAATCAAAAATTTTCTGACTCATTTGACTCGAGTTGACTCACGTGAATTGATATTATACAAATTACTATTTTGAGAATTTTGTTTAACTCATTTTTGGTGATTTTCCAATTTTTCGATAGCCAAAAATTCCTTTTAGGAATTTGTGTAACCATATATCTATATTTAGAATCTTGTGTAACTCAATTTGATACAATCCCGTAATTCGAAAATATTGGATATTTTTAACACGTTTACTTGAATATCTCAGCGTCCAGTGATCCGTTAGAAATGCAACACATATCATTTTGATGAGCGCATCTCGGCGAACACGATAGTGCAGTTTTCACGAAATTCGGATCGGTAGATCTCGAGATAATGGCCTTCGAAGTCAAAAATCAATTTTTCAACACATTTTCTTGAATATCTCTGCATTCAGTAATCCATTAGAAATGCAACACATATCTTTTTGATGAGCGCATCTCGGCGAACACGATGGTACAGATTTCATGAAATTCTGATCAGTAGATCATTAGATAATAGCCTCCGAAACATTAATATTATTTTATTATTTTATTATTTATATAATCAGCAAATATATTTTGGGGGTTTTTATTTGACTCGAGTTGAGTTGAGTCAAATTTAAGTATAACTCGAGTCAAGTTGAGTTAGAGTTTTAAAATTTTTTGACTTGACTCGACTCGACTCAAATTTTTTGAGTTGAGTCGAGTTATCTTTAAAACTCGATTTGACTTGACTTATTAGGGGCTCTAGTCTTCATTATGAACCTCGTTAGGTAAGTTTGCTGTTGATACAATTATATCATTTTGATTTACTGATGGTGCTGTATTGTCATTGGGAATATGGGTTTCAATTGAAAATGGGTCTTATACGGTTGTAGTTGATCTTTGATTTAAAATATTTACATAGTTACGTAGGTAGGGGTTATGCGAACTTAGCCAGAGGACCACACGTAGGAATGTATTATCTAGAATCTGCTTATTGAAAATGTGATTTAGGTTTAATGGTTGTAAATAGGCTTCTATTGTATCATAATAGAATGCTAGTGCTCTGAAATTGATTGAATATTCTATTGTGCCCAAGATGTTATGATATTTAAAATAGGTTAAATTGGAACCTGAGTTTCTTTCTAGGAAACAGTTTAAGTGTGTGTAAGTGTATAGGAGATAGAAATTTCCTACGATATAATAGGACAGCTTGGATTTCATCTGGAATTTTGGCCAATACTGGAAATTGAAACCTGTTTTGTGGTTTTACACAGGAGCTATATGAAGGTATTTTAATGATTTATTTTCTTAATATATCGTATTATTCTAGTACATTGACTTGATTTATTAATTCAATGGGATAGGTTTTAGAAGAATTGTGTAATATCTATTTAGCTTTATTTTTATATAGTAATCTTTCACAGTAGACGCATGAGAAGTTAGGGTATTCTTTTAATATACTGGATTAGAATTTATCATAAATGCGTTTGAAAGTTTCGTTTAGTTTCTATGGGTTGTAATTATTAAAGTTTGATTAGGAGGAAGATTGATGAGTCTATATTGGGCTAGTCATATGATTGTTGTAAAGTTTCTGAATTAGTGGTGAAATCAATTGTACTTTCATTAGGAATGTAAGAATGTCTATGTAGTATTTGTTATATAGATGGTAGGACATATCTTTTTTTATAGTTTAATTTAATCGATTAGGAAATTTGTTTTTTTTGTATATTTTATTTTTTAGATCTCAGACTAAATGGAAAAGAAAAAAATGTTATTTATTTGGTGATTGGTAAATAAATTTTTTGTTGCTTTAAATTCACTTAATTCTACCAATAACTTCCTTACTATTTCACAAAACATCGATATTTCTCAATCTAATTATATCTTTGACAACGATTCTATGACACAACTTACTAACTTAGCTTTTAACCTTTCCAATGCAACTTTCTTATCCTTCTATACAGATGGCTCTCTCATTGACCTTAGTTTCTTATCTCTTCAGATGGGAATAGTCTGATTGCAAACTGACCCACAATAGCCTTTGACTTCATTTCATTCTTCCTTTTATCTACATAACCTATCCTCTCTTTTAGCTGAACTATTAGCAATTATATCCACTACATTCGTTACTCCTTCGCATTCAACCATTTGCATTTTCACTGATTCTCTCTCTGTTATTAACATCTTTCACAAACTTTATTTTTTCCTTACCACTTCCTCTTCATGCAACTCTATTTACAAATTCCATCATTATCCTCTTTGGTTATACTTTTTCGATCTACTATATGCTAAAAACATCACTTACATATGAACAAAGTAAAAGCACACGCTGACGACCCTTTAATAATATTGTAGATCAGCTAGCAAAATCTAATAGACCCACTTTATCCTTTAATTTTAATGCCTTCAACTCAACCATAATCCCACATTTTAATAACATGCCTATTCTCTTTTCAACACGTCATTTTATCAAAAGCCTTCTACAAGCAAAACGCTTTAACGATGTCTTACTTATATCATACTTCACAAAATATCATTCACTAAAGGTCGATTGGAATGTTACCTTTCAAGTACTGCATGATAACGAAGCTAAATCTGCTACATCCTTTCAAGCCTCTTTCACCAAAAAACAGAAAATTAAATTCATGTTAGAAATGCTTCCGTCCTTAGAAGTTTTAAAAAAAAGAAGCCTATACTATACAAATAAAACTGGACGTGTTGTAGATGTCAACTCAATTATGAAGATTTTAATCACATCTGGACTTGCCAACACTCAATAAAAACTGTTATCGATATTATAGCCTTCACAAAACACGAAATTTATCACTATCTATCGCTACTTAACAACAATTCAATTAACTCACAAAGTACAATTCATCAGATAATGACATCCTTCTTTTGGAATCCTGATCACAATCCAATTGACTTCTGTGTCATAGACCTCATTAAAGGCATAGTACCATTGGACTTATCTAATTTAATACAAATCATTACAAATGACAGTTTCATTACCATATCATTTATATCACACATCTACCATCACATTTTTATGTTAGTTTCAAAAATCTGGGCTGATAGATGCGAAATTTTTGTTACACTTATTCCTATATCATTTATTTCTTCCTTTAGGTATGGTAACGATTGGTCAAATTTTGGATAGGTAGCAACCACGCTCTCCCATCTGGATGGTTAAGTTTTCTTTTCTTTTAATTAAATTATTAGTCTAGAACGGTGTAGGATTGACTTTGATTTATTTTAACTAATTTAGAATACTTAGAAGTTTTTGTATTTTCTTTTCTTGTCTTGTATTTTATTTATATTTTACTTGCTTTAAATAAAGATCATGCGAAGCTACCGCACTTAAAATAAAAAAACAAATAAATTTTTTGTTTAATGATTGTTCAATCTTAAATTTTTTTATTTTTGATAATTGGTTAATTATAAAAAATTTACAGAATTGAGAAAAGATTTGAATAAAAAAAAACGAATAGAATGAAATGATCTTTTATATTTGATAATTAAGAAGATGGATTACTATCTGTTTTTCTCAACTGTTTGATTAAAAATAAAAATAAATAATTCATAAGATAAAGCTATTAATTATTATTGTTATTAATTAATATAAAAAGAATAAACCCTTTGGAATGATCTGATGGTTTTGTTGTTACTGATCATTGGTGATGACCGATTCTTTATCAGTTTGGTCCTTTGATGGAGTTTTTGATGATTTTTGGCTTGTTTGATTAAGAAATATATTAGCCATGGCCTGAGCTGATACTTTTCCTGAGATTTGTGTTATTGTTGACCATAAATATTTAGAAGATAGTGAGGTCTTAGTTGATGATTCAAGGTTTGCAATAGACATTGGCAAGAAGTTGATGCCTTGAATATCAACTTGGAATTCAGAATCGACTTGAATCAATTTACCTGTGATTAATAGATTTGAGCTTCTTCTTGCTTTAATAAGTTTTTTATTGATTCTTTCATCAGATTTCAAATACCTACACTTAATTTGAAATTTTTTTCCTGAACTTGTATCTTTAGTAAATTCATTGACAAATATTTTAATGCTTTTAAACATAGTATCTTCGTTTTAAACTGATTTAATAGCAAAGCCTGTAATAAATACTGAGATAAAGTTAACAGGTAAGTAATTTTGATCTAACTCAATTAAATTACCCGCGTTTACTATCACCTGATAATAAATATAGATAGAAAGATAAGATATTCTTCTTTTTTATTTGAATGACTGAATGATTAATGATTGAATAAATAGTTAGATAGATAATTAATTATTTTTTTTTACCTCTAATGGATCATGAGGGGGTAATTCATTAAGAGTGAATTTTCCTGTGAATCTTAATACGTTTTCAGGAACAAATAAGGAAATCCATCTTGATACCAAAGAGTCTCTTCTCTTCAAATAATGCCAATTGTCTCTCTTACTATATAGTCTGAAGTATCTCTCTCATTAGTTAAATGGATGAAGGTGAGTTTAGCAGGCATAATTTTTTTTATTTTAAAAAGAAAAGAAATCAATAATTGATTGATTGGTTTCTTTTCTCCAAGTTTATTTTTTTATTTTTTTATTATTTATTATTAACATTTTTTTTTATTTATTGCGTCTATTTCATTTTTTTTTTATGATTATTTAGAAAGTCAAATTTTTTCTTTCTCATGATACTTATAAAATTTTGTAAATGTTTATCTCATCTGTTCAAATTTGGTATCTCTTTTTGTGTGAGAAAATCATTTTGCATTGTTTATAGGAATGTTAACGATCTCAGGAAGATGGTCTAGATCACAATCCAATTATAAGATCGATCTTGGTCCAATCTGAAGGTTGAGATTGAATCGAATCAGATTGGACTGGATCAATCCTTAAGACTGATCCTAAATCAATTTTATATAAAATTACATAACGCGTAATAATGCGTCATAACATTGATCATTTTTAGCCCAACCAGCCCAATTTTTTTTGGTGTAATATTGAATATGTCATGTGAAATAAATTCTCCAAATAATGATAATGAATCTATATATTCTTCTGATTCTTTAGCAAGAGAGGAAGATACATCAACTTCAAAGTTCACAATTTCTTCAGATGTGTAGGAGTTTTTTGAAAAAATTCGCGATTCACAAAATAATATTGTAACAGAATATAAGTGTACATTGTGTACACAAACATATGCAACTGGTAATGCAACAACATCCCTTTGGTGTTACTTTAGTAACAAACATTCAACGAGATATCAAAAACCTGAATCCAGGCAAACCACCTTAAAAGATTTAAGATATAAGCCATATTTCAAAAAAAAGAGTCTAAACCAATAACCAAACTTCTTGTTGACTTTATTGCTGCAGATATGCAATCATTCTCTATTGTTGAGAATCCTCAATTTAAAATTTTCATCAAAAAATTAAATTCACGTTATAAAGTATCATGCAGACAAATCTTAAAAGTGAATTTTATTTTAGAATTTGATGAAAGAAGAAAGCAGTTAATAGATGAAATTTCAAAAATTGAGTCTAAAATATCTTTTACAACTGA